GTAGCATTATTTCGCATTTCGTTTCGTTCGCTGAGAAAACATTGACCCTTGCAGCGGTAAACTAATTTTCGCGCTCTTTAATGTACAGCATACGGTTCTCTTAAGTTTACGTTCATGCAGTACCCTCGTCGTAACTTTGCTCCCGCAGCTTCGTGGTTATCCAACTCTCCAACTGGTGTCGCCCAGCTTGTCGTTTGTGACGAGAGCTGATCATCCGCTCTTATATTGTGCCAATCAATTGAAACATCGTTCGCCACTTCCTTTTTGGGTCGAACGCTGTTCTAATTTAGGTATTTGTGTGCGCTTTGACATCTAATTTTCTAGCTGGTGTCGCCGAGCTTGTCGTATGCGCCAGAGAGCTGATCATCCGCTCTTATATTGCGCCACTCAATTAAACATCGTTCGCCACTTAGTTTTCGGGTCGAACGCTGTTCTAATTTGGGAGTCGAATGCGTTGCGCGCATTAGAATTGCGTTTGCTTGTTGGTTCGAACTTGGTTCGAGCTCAGTGTGTCGAGCCAAACTTTGTGTTGGTTGCGAACGCTTAGCTTAGCGTTGCGCGCATTGGAACTCCAGACGTCCGTTTCGTAGGGGATCGAACGTGGGTCGAGTTTGGTTCGCCGTGACAGAGCTCGGTTGCGAACCTAATACGTTTATACGTGGGTACTTGAATACTTTTGCCGTACTGTCAAACATTGTTCTCATTGAACGCAGTGCATTTCCTCAGGTTATCGTCGCCTTCGCTTAGCAAGTTTGAAGTTTAGAAGTTAGGAACAGCCAACGTTGGTAATTTAATCAACATGTCTAAAGATCATGATGAAGAGAAGGCAACTGGGAGCGGAATGTGTGGAAGCACGAAGCTCACAAAATTGTATGTGAGGTTGAAGGAGATAAGCGAAGATATAAATCGAATGAGGATAGCATTTGAGGAGGGTTCAATTTCGCTGGATCCATTACAAATCCAATGTCGTTTGGAAATATAGAACTCCTATATTGAAAAAGCAATGGCAGTCCGAGATCGATGTACTAGACCCAGATAATTCAGAAAGGGGGGCGTTGGAAGAAACGTGTGTGATCACAAAGGCTCTGTACATGTCGGCAGCGACCAACAGATCCCCTCAACCATACATGAATTCAGCACCCACACACCACCACTCCAATTTGCCAAAATTGAAGTTGCCGAAGTTCAGCGGCAAGCATGCGGATTACAAACAGTTTATTAGTCTGTTTGAAAGTTTGGTAGATTCCGACCCGTTGTTGTCCAATATAGAGAAGTTCAACCATCTCATATCGTGCTTGTCCGATGAAGCCTTGGGAACCGTTAAGGCGTTCCAAATGTCAGATGCCAACTATCCAAAGGCATTAGAAAGTTTGAAGAGGGTGTACGACAACAAGTGCTTAATATTCTTTGAGACACTTGCCCAGTTGTTTGACATTCCTGCCGTAACCAAGCCGTCAGCGTCTGCATTGCGATCAACTATAGATATAGTGTCAGCCATTCTGGAGTCGCTTTTATCGTTAGGAGACGAGCGAGAGGTTGCTAACGCCATGATAATACATCTGGTGTTATCCAAGGTGGACCCATACACAAAAACAAAGTATGAGGAGCAGCTGAACTACGATGAGCTCCCTTGCTGGTCGGATTGTGCAAAAATGTTGAACCGCCGGTACCAACACCTTTCAGCAGAGGAGTCATCCAAAGCGAGAGGCAAACCAAAGTTTGACATGCCGTCGACCAGCAAGAAAACCAGCAGATCGTCATTTTCTTGCGCGAGGGCCGAAAAGTCGATCGACCCCAAGTGTGTATATTGCGGCGCCAACCATTCGATCGGAAACTGCCAGGGTTTTGGGGCAATACCCGTCTTGGAGCGTTTCGAGTTCGCAAAAGGCAAGCAATTATGCATTAATTGCCTCCAATCTGGACATAGGGTATCTCAGTGCACATCCTCTAAGTGCAGAGTTTGTTCACAGAGGCATCACACCCTCTTGCATAGATACGCAGCTCAGAGCGCAGATTCAGAAAGTCAGGCAATAGGAGTACAAGCATCGTCCCATCCTGCGCAGGTGAAGCAGGCATCCAGTGAGCCCGAGCATGTCATCCTTGCCACAGCAGTGGTAAGAGTTCGGGACAGATTTGGCCAAGTTCACTTAGCAAGAGTGTTGTTGGATTCGGGTTCACAGGTCAATTTCATGACAGAAAGTCTAGCGCAATCGCTAAGGTTGGCAAGGGTCAACCGTTGCCTGACAGTGACATCTGTAGGCAAGTCAAGCTCGACGACAATATACTCCAGGTTAAATAACCATTGTTTCGTAGCAGATTTCTGGGTTCTTAGCAGCATTACCAATCAGCAGCCTGACAGGAGTCTGCCCATTAAGCAGTGGAAAATTCCTGCGAATGTGGAGTTGGCAGATCCAGCATTCCATCGACCTCAAAGGGTAGATATGCTGATTGGAGCAGACTCGTTCTTCGATCTGTTGTGCACAGGCCAAATAAAACTGGGTGAAGGGGCACCATTGTTGCAAAAGACCCTTTTAGGTTGGGTAGCTTCAGGTCGGTGTAGCAAGCTTCTGACTGGAGAAGCCGCTTGCTGCGTCGCAACCTACTCACCGGAAGAAGACTCTCTGTCTCAAATGGTCGAAAGACTGTGGGAGATAGATGCAACGCCAGAAGAAAAACATGCTCAAACAAATTCGGCAGAGCAGCTGGCATGCGAAGAGTTTTTCAAAGCCAATGTCTGCAATCTACCGACCGGAAGGTTTCAAATACCGTTGCCTTTTAAGACAGACCCAGTATCGTTGGGGTCGTCGTTCGAGGTCGCAAAACGTCGTTTCTTATCGTTAGAGCGACGAACGTTAAGAGAGAGTGAGCTGAGAGACATGTATCTCAGTTTCATGAAAGAATATATCGAGCTCGGCCATATGTCTCCGACAGACAACGCGATTCCGCCAGGACCACATTATTTTATACCACACCAGTGCGTCCTGAGGCCTGATAGCAGTTCCACCAAGCTTCGAGTCGTTTTTGACGCGTCGAGCAAGACCACAACTGGGTGGTCATTAAACGATTTACTTATGGTGGGACCTACTATTCAGAGGGAATTATTTTTATCACTCGTTCGATTTCGGGTGAATCGGTATGCTTTAACGGCAGACGTTTCGAAAATGTATAGTCAAGTGGATGTGGCCGTAAAAGACCGGAATTTCCAACTCATCGTGTGGCGAGAACATCCCACCGATCAATTGAAAATTTTTCGGTTGAACACAGTTACCTATGGTACTTCCGCAGCACCTTTCCTTGCCATTCATTGTTTGCACGAGCTCGGTGTACGCCACAGAGACACCCACAAGAAGGGTTCTGAGGTGATCTGCAGTGATTTTTATGTAGACGACATGCTGACAGGAGCCGATGACGTAGACACGCTGAAGTCGATTTGCGATCAGGTGTCTGAGATTCTTGGCTCCGGAGGGTTTCAGCTTTCGAAATGGTTTTCGAACCATCCAGAACTAATGGATGGAAACAATGAGGAGAAATCCCTATCATTCAATGATGCCGATTCGACCAAAACATTGGGGATGAGGTGGAGTCCAAGAACAGATACGTTCCGGTATCACTTGGAAGATAGCTTCACAAACTTGAATCCGACTAAGCGCACCATTCTGTCAATTAGTGCTCGACTGTTTAATCCGCTTGGGCTACTTAGTCCAATCAGCATAACAGCGAAAATTTTCCTCCAGAAGCTGTGGCATCTTCAGCTGGATTGGGATGAAGCCATCCCAATGTCACTGCATACAAGCTGGGAGAGGCTAAAGCTAAACTTGTGTGGTCTTGACAAAATAGCCGTGCCTCGGTACGTTATGGCTAGTGGGTGCTCGTCGATTCAAGTGCATGTCTTCGCGGACGCGTCTAGTCAAGCGTATGGGTGCTGCATTTATGTGCGAGCGCTTTTCGAAGGTCAAACGTACGTTCGATTGATCGCTGGGAAAGCAAGAGTAGCTCCCCTAAAAACAAAGACCATCCCGAGGCTCGAATTGTGCACCGCAGCGTTATTGGCGCAATTTTGGGCCTACGTAAAGCAAGTTTTGGAAAAGTGTCGAATCGAGAGCGTATTTTTCTGGACGGATTCAGAAATAACGCTACATTGGATTAAAACCCAACCGTCGTCACTTGCAGTATTTGTCTCAAATAGAGTAGCCATGATTCAGGAGCTATGTCAGGGCATTACGTGGCGTCATGTCCCATCGCTGTCGAATCCAGCGGACTTGGCGTCTCGCGGATGCGAAGTGCCTGAGCTCCTGGAGTCCATATGGCTAGAAGGCTGAAATTTATATGTGAGCCTGAGCACTGTTGGCCAGAGAACCCGCATTTTAACATCCCAGATGATGTGAAGAACTCCGAGGCGAAACGGTCCGCCCAGGTTCTAATTGGCGTTGCGAACTCGTTTTCAAATGAAATATTTTCTCGTTTTTCGTCGTACCCCAAATTAGTTCGAGTTTTTGCGTATGTATACCGATTTGCTAATATCGGCAAGAACAAGGAACGTTACAGGGAGGAGGAGGAGTGCAAAGGAGTTGCAGCAATCGTCTCTAAAATTGATGGAGCTGGTTCAGCGCGTCGGTTCAGCGCGAAGCGTCTTCTCTGAAGAGTTTAAGAAGCTGAAGAAAGGGCATACGCTGCAACCGAGCCTGCAGATGATGGCCCCTTTTATCCAAAAAAGATCAGAGGAGGGGCGATCGTTTACACTTATCAGGTTCGGAGGAAGGCTGTTGCATGCTCCAGTGCCAATAGAGGCTAAGTTTCCGGTTCTACTTCCCGCCAAGAGTCAATTCGTCGAACTCTATTTAAGGAACCTGCATTTTAAGAATTGTCACGCCAATGCAAAGACATTAGTAAGTTTGCTGAGACAAGAGATTTGGCTAGTAAATGCACGTCGAGAATGCACTCGCATAGTGAGGAGATGCATCCACTGTTTTCGATACAAACCTAAATTGATGGGTCAGATTATGGGGAATCTTCCAGCAGACAGGTTTAGGGAAGGTCGTCCGTTCCTGATTTGCGGGGTAGACTTTTGTGGTCCCATCAACGTCTCGCTTCGGATTCGAGGTCGTCAGCCGCTCAAAATGTACGTAGCGGTATTTGTGTGTTTCGCTTCGAAGGCCGTCCATTTAGAGCTTGTCCCAGACCTGTCGACTAATTGTTTTCTTTTATCTCTAAAAAGCTTCATCGCAAGACGTGGCGTTCCGCTGAGGATGTATTCCGACAATGGGACAAATTTCGTTGGAGCCCGGAACGAGCTGCAGAGGCTTCAGGAAGCGTTCGAGGAGCAGCAGTCCAGCCTGAGGACGTTCGCGGCGGAGCAAGGGATGGAGTGGAAGTTCATCCCCCGCGAGCACCGCACTTCGGCGGTTTATGGGAGGCGGCCGTCAAGTCGGCAAAGCTGCTGATCGTGCGGCAGGTCGCGGACGCCGCGCTCACCGAGAGCGAGGTGAGGACCGTGTTGGCCGAGGCCATCATGAATTCCAGGCCGCTCACTCCAGCCAGTACGGATCCAAACGACGGAGAGGTGCTTACGCCAGGCCACTTTTGATCGGCCAGCCCCTTCATTCGCTGCCGCAAGGGTGCGAGCCAGACGGACGGAGCAGCGGTACCACCTATACCAAGAGGTGGCAACTACTCTCCGAGCTCAAGCGACGGTTCTGGCAGGCTTGGTCGAAGGACTACGTCCACAACCTGCAGGGACGCAGCAAATGGCAAACCCCAGAGGCCAACATCGAGGTCGGCGCCATGGTGGTGGTCCACAACGACCATACGCCGCCGCAGCAGTGGATCACCGGCAGTCCAATGGATGCCAATTACTCTATAGTCCGGTATTCAGATCAGAAAAAAGATTTATTGCAACACGTGCCATACATTTTGCTAGCGGCCGAGTGTGACCAGAGGTATGCAGTACATGCCATACTGTTACACTTGTGACGGCACTTCAGCCGGGGTATGCTCGCCGAGCCGTGGTTCACGGAAATTTTTTTGATCTCTGGATGTGGTGGCTGAAGGAAATTGCCTCCTGGTTGAAGAATAAGGCAACACGAGTAAGGTGGTAAAAGTAGGTTTTTATATATAGTAGTCTTATTATACAGATCTTGGGGTACGGTATCGGTGGAAAAGGCGCTCCGGGAGACCTGAGGGGTGCGGAGGGTAATGCATTCCGGAAGAGATTAATATTGCGGAGGATAATGCGCTCAGGAGAGGATGGGGAAACGATGTAATGCCGAAAATAGGGTGATCAGGAAGGCAGATCTTGACCCTAGGCGAGTGCAGATGGACATCCTTGATTTCTTGTATTGCCAAAGTCAGCTGTTGTGCCTCTTCTTTGTTCTCTTCTTTGTGCTGACAGTGTGCCCGTTTCTGGTTGCGGCAGGGTCACACTGTCCGATCATCTCTTAGTGTGCCCGTTTGTATTAGATTCAGGGTCACACTGGGTGTGGCGTGCTGTTGGGAGTATATTTGTGGCGCTGGGCATCAGACAATGATCCAACAGTTGTCTTGTTTTTTTTACATTGTGAAAATCTATGGCAAGGACCTCTTGTCTTGTTTTGTAAAGCCCAGTACTCTAAATACTCTACGGTTACACTGTTTTTGGCTTTTTTTATAAAAAAATCTGTTAAAATTGAAAAATGTTGTATGAAAGCTACTGCTCCGAACAGCTGCATAAGCTCTTTGGGCTAATCAGCGCTCTAACGCTCTCTCACTAATTTTAGAATGTCAGCTATAAATCTGACTCAGACACTTTGTATCTGCAGCTTAACGCCTGGAATATATTAAGCTGTCAACTTCAAATTTCAGAAATTTTTTGCAATATTTTTTTTTTTTTTTTTTTTTTCTCGAAATTTTGACTTTAAAAACTTACCGTTTATCCATAGATTTTAATGAACAATACCTTAAGCGACGCCTAATGAATGCGTCTATCTAGAACTAAAAATTATAGGGAACCTATTTCAGGCTGGGGTAAGCTCAGTCTGTCCAGGGTTGGCTACAAGAAATTGGTAGTTGTCGTTGGGACTTTAGGCGAGGGACGAGACCAAGCGAGGCAATGCCGTAACCGCGCTGTGCTTGGCGTAAGTCACCAATGTCTGCCCGGTGTCCCAGGATGTATCGCGGTGGGTTGGTACCTTGGGCGGTGGCTGATCCCACTACCTGGAGCGTGCGCTTGGGGAAAAGGGACAGGCGTGGCTTGGAATCTGGGTAGGCGGGCCAGCGCGTCGTCGCAAAGCCACCGAAGGTTTGAGAGGATCATGGAGAGGCGATGCAGAGCATTGTGTTGTCGCAAAGGCTCAAGAAGATCAGGAAGAGGCGGGGCAGAGCAGTGCGTTGTCGCAAACGCTCGGTGGGATCAAGAGCAAGTGAGGCTGAGCAGTGCGTTGTCGCAAAGGTTCATTGAGGTTAAGGAGAAAGTGAGGCTGAGCAGTGCGTTGTCGCAAAAGCTCATTGAGGTTAAGGAGAAGGCGAGGCAGAGCAGTGCGTTATCGCAAAGGGTCAAGAAGATCAGGAAGAAAAGAACGTTAGTAGTTAATTTGAATAAAATGACTCGAAAGGTGTGGGCTTTGAGTATAAAATTATGTGTTTATTCAAGTAATATTCGATAATAAGGTCCCTGGCTACACCTTGTGGATGTTGCTTACAACTTACGTGTGACCAATATACGGGAAATTAACCGTGCTGAGTTGGATATGCGCGTAGCCATGGGCACGTTCTGCCTTCGCAGCGTGTTCGTGTGCCTGTTGTTGCAGTCCGGTACGCGTGTTTGTTTTAATCGTGACTGTGTTCTCGTGGGTCGGACCGAGTTAAGTGTGGCAAGGTTATGTTGGCGTGTTGTACTCGTATCGGTGCGTAGCTAGGCGTTTTGTCACTGAGAGTTGTGCTTCAGCGTGGCTTGGAGGTTCGTCGCAAAGTGCCGGCTGCTTAAATCTCTGCCTGCCTCGAGCCCTGTTGTTTCCTCTTCTTTCTTTCCGATAAGTTCTCCTATCCTGTATCGATAGTGTTGGGGTTGCCACCTCGTGTTTGTGGGAAATGTCTTAACGCTTTTAGTGGCGGGTTTATTTACTTATAACTACTTATTAACTAGAACAAAAGATTAGGCTAGAATTTGGCCTTCAGTGGCGGGTATCGTTGTGGGTGTGGGCATACAAATGCATGATGATCAAAATAATGCTGAAAAGACTGCCTCCAGTGGCAGTTCCATGTCTAGTCCTCGGTCGCATGGTGTATGGTGAGGAAGGTGAGGTCTGTAAAGCCGTCTAGGTTGTTAATGTGTTTTTGTGTGTGTGTGTGATTTGGTATGCATACGGTACATAAACCGTTTACAAATTTGTCGTCGCAACTAGAACTTGAACCAGTTGGACTGCGGAGAGGGTTTCCTACGTCCAGCAAATGAGGGTCTGAAGACACGGCGACAGCCTCTGTTGATTGCAGTTGTAGAGAATGAGTGAACAGGCAGTGATGGTACTGTTTCTGATACTGATTTTATTCAACAAACTTAAATTCTATTTATAGGTAACAAAAGGTACAGAAAGTGCTGAGTCTAGTAAGAATATGGTAAAGGGAATTGGAATTAATATTGAATTAATTTGGATTTAATATGATATTGTGTTATTGGGCAATTGTGATAGTCAGCAATTGCACCAGTGTTTTTGACCTCTGAAGAGCGATCGCATCGTTGGCAGAAATTGCTGCAGAAGCGGTTATTGTTGACTCAGCTACAATGCTTTGTCATTTGTTATTATGTCTCTCGTTACATGGGTCGACGTGACTTATTCGATAAGTGTATATTATGTAATATTAATTAATGCATAAATATGTGACTGAACATACATAGGTCTCTACAATATGCATGCCAAAACTTATTTTTTTTTTCGACTTTTCCTAAGTTTTTAAAGTTAAAATTTCGGAAAAAATATACCGCAAAAATATAATGAAATTTCTTTTATCTGGACGTTGATATGCAATGACTGCACCATCAAGTGGCCCATGCGACACCAAGCCGAAGCCTGTTACGCGCGGAACCCAGGCAGAAACGCAGCCCTCCTCCCGCCCAACCGACCGAGGGGCGCTGCCGCATGACGCGCGACGCGTGTTACCGAACCGATCGCGAGCATGCTGGAAAGATAGGTGTTAGACTAAAATTCGAGGAAAATTAGAGCTAAACACAACTCAAAGAGCTAAGCATGCAAAGATAGCTAAAAAATATAACTAATTACGGGAAAGGTATGTTAGTATTAGTGATTATAGAAGAGGAAGGGAATTAGTAGTTGATATTATGTGGTAAAGGGAATTGAAGTCCGAGCAAAGTACCCTAAATGGTTCGTGCAAGGAATAATTCGATCTACAAAGCGGAAGGAAAAGAGGAATGAAGTTTCTAGTAGATCTAATAGGAATCGTAAAGTTTATGCGCCTCAACAAGTCAGGGCTATCTACATCACCCTTGATCAGGTTGTGCATAAAAATCACACCAAGCATTTTTCTACGACTAACTAAGGTTGGAAGGTTTATTAAAAGCAATCTACGAGGATAAGATGGCAGTCTCACACCTGCATCCCAGTTAAGGCCACGCAGATCAAAAAGTAAAAAGTTTTTCTGGACTGATTCTATACGGTCCTGGTGTACTTTGAACTGGGGGCACCATACACAAGAGCCGTATTCTAAAATCGGACGAACAAGCGAGATATAGAGAGTCTTCGTTATATAGGGGTCGTCAAATTCCTTTGACCACCTCTTTATAAACCCAAGCACACCCATGGCCTTATTTACCATGGTAGAAATGTGTTCAGAAAACTTCAACTTTGGGTCTAATTTAACACCAAGATCATCAACCAAGGTAATTCTCTCAAGAGAACCACCGCAGAGGCTATAAGGAGCCAATAGGGGGCTGGAGCGATGAAATGTCATTACTTTGCATTTCGAGGCATTTAGGTGTAACATATTTGCACAACACCATGATTGAAAGTTATTGAGATCGGATTGCAAGCGAGAGTGAAATGAAATGTCCTTATACTGGACACAAAGTTTAACATCATCCGCATACATGAGTACTCGAGAGTTTGTTAATACTGAAGGCAGATTATTAATAAAGAGTGTGAATAGTAGGGGGCCTAGATGGCTGCCCTGTGGTACTCCAGAAGTAACCTTAACAGGTGAAGAGAAGGAGTTTTTGAAGAGAAGGAGGTCTCTTTGAGACCTAGAACAAAGGTAGCTAGAAATCCATCTCAAAAGATTAGGCGGAAACCCTAAAAGGTCAAGTTTTTGTGCTAAAAGGGAATGGTTTACAGAATCAAATGCTTTACTAAAATCAGTGTAAATGACATCCGTCTGCAAGTTACCTTGAAAGCCTTTAATGATAAAAGAGGTAAACTCTAATAAATTTGTGGTTGTTGATCGTCGCCTTATAAATCCGTGCTGGGACGGAGATATAAGTGATTTGCAGAGATGTTGCAAGTGCGGAGTTAAAATTTTTTCAAACATTTTAGGAATAGCGGATAACTTAGATATACCCCTATAATTATTTGCATCAGACTTGCTACCTTTCTTATGGAGCGGAATAATAATAGATTCCTTCCAGATGGGGGGGAAGCATGAAAAGATAATGGATAGAGTGAAAAGTTTGGGCAAGAGTCCACACAGAGCGTCGGCACAGTACCTAAGTACACAGCCGGGAACTCCGTCGGGACCTGGTGAAAACACCGGCTTAACTAGTCGAAGATCATGAAGCAGTGAGCTTTCATTTAACAAGGGGCTGAAGATGCCATTCGACCTTGGTAAACTTTATGGATACGGCTGACCAGAGAAGCTTTCATGAGAATAGGTTGTTTTAAAAAATTTGGCAAAAAGATCGGCAATTGCCTGATCATTGTTTGCTGACATATTGAGAAAAGATAACGAGGATGGATGTACGGACGTTCTACGCTTACTATTTACGAAGCTGT